TAATCGTAGCCATGCAACCTTTTCATCTACGTCTCCCCTACCTCCGATTCACAGTCGAAGAGCGCTTCCTCCGACCGAATTTGCGTGACGGGATCATCCCAATCCACCTCCTCTGTCGTCAACAACGTCAGCTTTCGCAATCGCTCTTGTGCGTCGCTCAGAACACGGAGCTGGTGATCAAGTCTCTGGATGCTCGAGTTGATGCGGTCGATGACAAGTCGCAGTCCGGCTATCGTGGTCTTCGGGGACACCGGATCGGGAACGCGGTTGCCATCGCGGGGATTTTCCATGGTCGACCCTGCGGCATCGCAGCCGACGAGAGCCGTAAGCTCGCCTCTCGTCCGACTTTTAGATCGCACCTTTTCGGGAGAGATCCCGAGGCGCGCAAGCGTCTCCTCTAACGTCTGCTGGCTGACCACCAGAGGAGGATCATCCGGTACGTCCGACTGACAAGAGTCCGTGTCGAGACGCATGAGCTGCCTGATATCATGAAGTGGTCTGCCCGCCAGCCCCGTCAGTCCGGACACGAAGACGATCGTGATATTCAGGGACACAACACCACGGACGCTCATGCTGATCATATACAGGCGTACTGACGCCTGAGAATGGGCTGTGAACGATGAGATGACGTGTAGAGAATTGCCGCGGGACGATGGTTGAAACGATATCTTCCGAGGCACTGGGATTATATACTACGATGGCAACATTACATTTGACAAATTCACTCATGAATGGAAATGCCGCCGTGATCTTTTAAATGCGAAGTACTCAGCTTGCCCGAAATGAGCTTTGAGCGCTCGAAATTTCACTGGTTGTTTTGGCTCTCTGTACGATCCAAGATGGCTACTTCCGCCCCTTATCCGCCGTCTCTCATCTGGTTTTGTATGAAAAAGGCGCTCGCTTTGACTGGGAAAGAAAGCCGTACATCACCCGCCGAAACCCCTCAGCATCTCGATCCCTCTTCTACAGTACAGTCTGCGCGAGAGCGAGCGTAGTCATAATCAGACACAGTGACAAATCTGCGATAGATGCTCCATAAATGTCCCCTTTGCTCGCTTCAACTCCAAGCAGGCCTGCCACAGTCTGAGATGTCTTGTAGAGAGAGACCGTATAGGCCGTCACTACCGCGAAGAGGACGACGGCGACAACGTCCAGCCCCAGCGATACGAAGCGAAGCAGCCTGAACTTGAGACCAGCAAGCAGCAGTGTAGTCGACACCAAAACTAAGCCGAGCCCGGCGAACACAACGGTCTCCAGGTTGGGGCATTTCTCTACCAGCTTCTGCAGCTGTTCGATCTCCTCGGACGAAGGGACAAACGCGGCCAGGTCATGTATCAGGCGAAAGGCGTGGCCTGGAATCGCTGCGCATTCTGAAGCCACGCACGCGTATTTGGTGCCCACTGATATGCTAGACGGTAGACTGGCGGCGACCAAGGATTCGCCTGATGCGATCGCGGCAGTGACCACACCGGCTGCGGCACTTTGCACCGCTGTGGCGATGGATCCGACCAAGTCAGGAACCTGAACGAAGCGTTTTGCTTGTTCATGTAACTTCGCTGCCGTTAGTCCCACATTGTCGGCGTGATGAGTTACGCACCTGAATCTGTACTATTCCCTCCTTCTCGTTCGCTTCATTCTGCAGAGTCCTGACGGTTACTGCGAGTACGACTAGTGTCAAGACGACATGTAGGGCTATGACGATCTTGGAAATCATGGCACTAGAGGAAGAGGCGTAAGAACGAGGATGACGAGTATCCGAAACCGAATCGCAGGTCTAGGAGACAACGGGCGCATATATACATACTGTACGAACTCGCCAAGACTGTGTTGATTCACTCTGCAGCTGAGGCCTAGAGTGGTCTGTGAATCTTCGTGTGTGTTCGTGTGTGAGGAGTGTTTGCCGCATGTGCTTGTGGATTTCTGGGGACGTGCCAACATTCGGAAGTCCTGCTAGGTAACTTTCGTCGAACACTATAGAAAGCACCAATGAGCTCTCGATATGTGCCAGTGCATGAACTGGGATGCTGTCAAAGTCGTTTCTTGCTTGCCTGTTCGGGTGGCGAGGTGGAGCCGGTTCAGACAGCCACCATATCACCACACGCAGCCGGAAACACGGACGGAACAGATGAAGAAGCCGGGATTCATGGCTTGTCGCATACTGGACCCGTACTGTATAGACTACGTACTATTCAATTGAGCTATACAGGACGTTTACAACCGAACATGCAAAACGTTCATCACGCTAGATTTCATGAACGCCTCACTCCTTGTTTCCTTCGCCGCCACTACCTGCGCGTCTTATAGACAACATATGGCGCGCATTAATGGGTTCCCAACCTTGATATCGGTATGACTGGTCGGGGACTGAGGCTCATGTAAGCAGCAAACTCCGGCTCCGACATTGCTTGATATGCCTTGAGGTGGTAATCATCGATCATCAATCTTTCGCATGGGAGTTTTACGTGAACCAAAGCAGCACACAGCTCTTTAGCAACGTCCAGATATCCCGATAGGGGGTCGCGATCATCTTCAAGCCGTTTACAGACTCTTCTAAGCT